TTACGTTTTGGTACTTGAAATATGTAACATTATTTGGAACAGTAGGGAGCTATTCACTAAAAGGATGCTTAGTTACAGCCACGAGCGCATCATTTTCGACTATTTCGTAGAATTTTACTTCTTAAGATTTTATATCTGGGGAAGGAATTACACTCCTTAACTAAGTAATATAGAGAAATCTGCGTATTTTATAACAGAATTAAGGTAAATATTTATATGGCCTAAGTTATAAATCGCAGATTTTTTTGGTAGACTTTAATCTTTCGGTTATATGTTAGTACACGAAACGAAATAAGTTCATTAATACTCTAAGCCTCTAAAAGTGTATGGGTTTGGTAATGCAGAGTATCTTGCTTAGTAAAACGAAAAGCTGTGTTCTAATTTTTTTAATGCATTAGTTTAAGAGATAAAAAGTTTTAAAAAATTGTTATTTTGATATAACATGCTGTTACGATTTATCACACCTATTCAGAACAAGTCCACGAATTTTATCATGGAAAAGAGTTCATGGTTGCATGGACTCTGAGCACAATATAGCTGACAGTAAGACTTTGCCTAGCTCCGCTTCAATTTTGAAAGAAAGCACTCCTGGGGATGGATCCGATGGTCACTCACTCTTTTTCCCGTACCATCAAACCAGTCGAGAGGATTTTCGGCTTGTATTTATAGTACCCTATGCTGCACAGACAGTATACGCTTAGAAACATTCATGCCTTCTCGAGGATTTGAAACCGGGGTCTTCGGTTATGGCAGTCAGCTTCACTAACTACTATCCCGTCTAATCGGCTCATATGAACAATGTGAAGTATAATTTTAAAATAAAGCTACTGGTAATATTAAATGGAGAAGTAAACTGCCTGGACGATGAGTGGTATATTGGTCATATATGAAAATATGAAAAATAAAAGTAATTAAATTGCAATTTTGAGCTATTTCGAAATATACAGAATGGGAAGGAAGTTCAAAGAAATAAATACAGGACACTCTGAAATTAATGCTTATGAAAGTAAGCTAGGAGTTTTTTCAAATAAGCAGAGATATAAAAATATTATCAACATAGATTTGACTTAAACATTTGCCAAACCATTGAGATTCAGATTAAAAATAGAAAGAAAAAAAAAGAAAACTATTTAGAAAAACCCATGCAGATAAAGTTTCGGATCAATTCAAAGCATCCCTCTTTTTCTTTTTATCCTCAACAATACGTTAAGGAAGGCAGGACCAAAGTCAGTAGACAAACAAGGTTATTCTCTTTCCTATGCTGACATCACTTACTTGCAGAAGTGGGAGTCCAGAAGCCACAAAGGGAGTAGGTCCTTTGAGCAAATTATAACTGAGTGACGTTACAAAAGAACAAGCTTTGTAGTATAGTAATTTTGAGCAAAACTATAGAAAAATATTCATTTCTTTCTTTCTAACGGTTCACATGTCTTTGTAGAATGGAATTTCATCCCTAAAGGGTTTCATTTACTTTTTATATGGAATTCTTATATCTGTCTTCTGCATATAAATACTTTTATTTTAGTATATTCTCAAAATAATTTTAGTAAATTTTAATTCAAATCAGAGATTGAATAATAAATAGTTTCCTTTACTCTGTGCATTCAATAGTGGAAATCAAGCAGTTAACAGGTTTGATTCATTGGTTTGTAAAATCACTTCGATATTTCGGTTGAACAAAATCAATGCGACAAAAACATTTTTGAAAATATATGATGGGAGAATTATTTTTTAACTCTGAAATATTGATACAGTCTAAAAAATTTTTATACGGTCAAATAAAAATGATGGTGGTAATAAATACTTTATTAGATAGGATGCTTTTCTTATAAGCTATGGTTAAGAATAAATAATACTGGTTAATAAACTATTTTAAGTCGATATGAGCCTAAAGTTTTAGAGTGGGAGTCCTTAAAATGTCCCTCGAATCTTACGAATATCTGAAATCGTTCATATAAAAAAAGGATAATTATGGAAAATAAAAAAAGGTTAGACGTAATATTAAAAAATTTATTAACGCAAAATTTGGAATATGCTTTAAAGAAAATCAATAGTTATATATGAGAATACATTTTTTAGAAATGCATTTCTGTTTATTAAAAAGACACACAAGAAACTGTTATGTAGAGAAATTATCTGATAGCGTTATAAAAAAATTAGGTGAATGATTTTGTGATTTATGGAAATTTGAATTTTGTTTTGATTCTGAATTATTTAGTTTGGGGCTTTAATTTTGGGGAGAAACAGATGCTTCGGGAAATATTATTTTAGTATAAATGAATATTATTTATTTTCTTTTATTTGCAAATCTTGTACAAACTTTTATTCATTGTGAAAGAAGGCAGGGAAAGGGAGGCAATTTTCGCCAAGTCATGATTTCGCGCGCTTTAGAATGTTCGAGAAAGAATTTTCATTGTTAGTTGACCTTAAGAGAGGAAAGTACGTGACGGAAAGGTCAAAGGTTGCTACTTGTCTTTCAATGTAAGTCATTCAGGTTTTTGGCGATTGAGGGTCCGGTTGTTGGCTAAGTGAAGAAGGGCGCGCATGCACGATCACCCTTTTTTCCGCATTCTGGAGTTGAAAACGAAGATTTTGCCATAATTAAGGGGGCGATAAGTGAAGCCATAGTGGGAGCCCGTTTTGTGAAGGAGACGAAGGAAAATTCGAGTTGGATACACACTTTCTCTGGACTCACTTACGCTTGGACTCGCTGACTTTCGGGTTTGCTGGACTTGTGGACGTTGCTCTTGAAAACTGGCTTGAAGAAACTTGGAGTTGGATTCTCTCCCTTACTGACTGGTGGGTGGAACTTACTTGGGACGTTACCCGTGAAGCTTGCTCTTGGGATGAGTAAGAACAGGCGAGCAGTAATTTCCTAGCAACAACGTTTCTGACCGGCGAAATTTGAACGAGTTACCTGCGTGTTGACATAGGACTTTCAGGACCAAGCGGATAGCCGTCCTGGGCAGCAGTGCTCCTGTTTCTGTTCTACAGTAGTGAAGTGGAGTCTACATTTTTAGAACCAGTGTCAAGATGAGCCCGGCCGACATCAACGCGGGATAAGATGAGAGTCCTCCGCTTCAAGATGTCCCTTCAAGATAAGTTTTATTTTTTTTTGGTGTGTTTGAACTTTAGGCAAGCTTTTCAAAAACGTCCTTAGCAGAAAAAAAAAACAACGTCAAATCTAAAATTTAACTCTCAGGCCTTAAATTGTTTCCCTTTCCTTTCTTTTAAATCACCAGACAAACCTTAATTTTTTTTATGAATTTAAATGAACAGACTCTCAGATGAGGTTAAGATTTTTCTTATTGTGTTGTAATTGAATAAACTGATATTTAATCTGGAACCTCTTACAGTATGTTTTCTTTATATATTTAATATGAACTTTTCCTTTATATCTTGTATATGTTTTATGTTTTCGATCCTCTCACGGCGCGGTCCCGGAATGCATTTTTTTTCACAAACGCAAAATGCTGTACACGTTTCACTATACGATTACTACCTTTAACGGCAAGTAGTTTCATAATTAACATTTAACAATATAGGAATTTCAGATATAACATGGTACCTAGAAGTAAAACTATTTAACCTTGGTGTCGAAACATTTCTTCATAACAAAACATAGGAAAATGACGTACGTTGTAGTGACATTAGAATATTTTTGGAGGCCGGTGAGATAAAAAATTAGCAACGTCTTCGCCGGGAGTCGAAGCAGGTACCTCTGGAATAGCGGCCCAGCGTGCATAACCACTACACCACGAAAGCACGCTAGGAAAGAGGGAAAAATCCCTTATATACTCCCCTTTTTTAAAAGGCGACTGAGATTTTTAGGGAACCCAGTCGCCAAATCGGTGTGGAGAGTCATCATCCACAACCCTTTTAATTCGGGCGGCACTGTAGAGACATTGGGTATTTTTTGGTAGCAGGCAAGAGGAAAAATTAGCAACCGCCTTCCCCGGGAATCGAACCACGGACCTCTGGAATACCGGCCCAGCGTGCAGAACCACTACACGACGAAGGCACGCTAGGTAAGAGGGAGAAGTACCTAATAACGTAATAAAGTTTTTACAACTTAACGTTCACGTTCTCAGTATAATTTGAAAAATAATATTTGAGTAGAAATTCGTATTTTTTAATCATTTCAAGCCAAAGCAAGTATGGAAGGAAGAAGATTATTTCAGGAGTTAACATAAATAGATATCAATCGCAAAACGCTAAATTTTCATCACAAAAATATGGAAATGAAACCTTAGGAAGCGATTTTCATGATCTACATTCACCAAAACTGAAAAATCCACCTTTCTTTTTCTAGTGAACGCTTTTACTAAACGTTAATAAAATAGTTTTTTCCACGATGAGTTGAAGCATTTAATAGTTATTTACATTATTATTAGAAATATTCGAATGATAGAACAAATTGCTCAAAGATTGCGCTTTCGAATTTCGAAACGTGGGTTTCCAGAATGCGAATGTTTCAACCCTAACTCTATGTGCCTCATTTCTGAAATAAAGGTGCATGCAAATGTCACAAATAATTAACGATATTTTGCAACTGCTGGAACATTTATGCTTCTGTAGTTAGTTTTAACAATATTTTATGCTTACAATTGCAGTGCCTTAATGTTGCCATATTTCGTTTTTAAATGTTTGCATTTTATTGTCTGTTTTGCTTTGTTGTTTTCTTTGTAGTACATTTTGTTGCTTGCTTTTGTAAGGCAGAGATTTATGTTTCTTTCGCCTGCAGTTTTATTTTCTGTAATTAAATTTTTAGTGTTATGGACAAAACCAGTTTAAAGCAATTTTAATGCGCATAAAATGCTAAATAAATATAGCATGCTTATTGTATGCAATGAGTTTTAGTAATTTTTTTAAACTTTACTTAAATGCATGGCACTTCGATGTCATATTCTCTCAGCACTCAGTAACATTTCAAATCAAAGAATACTTTTCACCTCTCAATTTATTAATTTTTCGCTATTTTTTATTCTCTCTTTTTACAGATGCAAAGCCTTCGTCTTCACCTATTACCGGTGAGTTTTAAATTAAACTTGCGCACTGATTTCCAGCTATTTCCTGTCCTTTTGTTCCATTAACTGGACTGAAAAAAGACCACTTCACTAACTAGTTGAACTTTTGACATCACCGACCTTTTAATTTCATTTCACACATCAAAAGCTTTCTTTCCTTTCCCCTAATTTTCACGCTGCTTTATCTTTTTATGTGTTATGTGTATGTCCGCTATTACTAACATCACTAATAACACTAAGTTGCTTTACTGTGAAATCACTGCAAATCGTTGTGATTGTTTAATTGTGTGTGTTCATCCTGTTGAAATAATTTTATGTTGTTTTTATATACACTTTTAGCAAATTGGTGATAAAATATTTGAATCTGAAATCATGAACTAGTATACAAGACTATGATATTGAAGAGATTGTACTTTAATGTGTCTCAATATGTGAACAATTTTTAAATTAGGATGTTCGTGGTAAGCGCACGATTTTGTAAATGAACAATTAAGTCCAAAAATAGCATATATCTTAAGAGAACACCAAGTACAAATTCTAAACTTCTTCAGTATGCTATAAACTTAGACAGTTCTACTATCATCGAAGATATTGCTAATATACCGTCATGAATCATACTGTATGAAAATCAAGAAAGCGGAGAGTAAAATCACTCAAACTTTTAATGTCTGAAGATAAATCACTGCAGTCTCTGAAAAGTAACTCGTTGAACTTTTAATAGACTGTAAAAGTTCGCAATAAATACTTACCTTGAAAATTCAACATATAAGGCAATGTAAGAAAGTAACTTCAGAAAATTACAGATCTACGTTCCTAGTCTATATTTACAAGATATTATCCATTAAGATGCATTTTGAAGAATTCCCCTTTGGCGATATTTTACCAAATCCCTAAAGAATACAGCTTGCAGTACGTCTACTCTTCTTAGGGTTATTCACATGCAGGAAATTCTAATATGCAAAATCTTTTTATGCTGCATCATAACACAGTTATGTTCAATTATTTAAAAATATGTTTTTTAAAATCATAAAATTCTGAGAACATGGTAAAGTAAACTTCTCCCCCCGGGAAAACATATTTTTTACGTAATCGTGTATAATTGTGTTACGGTACAATAAAACAAAAAATTTTGCATATTAGAATTTCCTGCATGTGAATAACCATAGAAAGAGCACAAGTCTTGCAGAGTGTATTATTTAGGCTTTATATAATTATTTGCAAGGGAATAAAAACTATCAAACTATTTTCGGTAACGAAACGAATGAAAGCTTGTATGAATATTATCTGCAGGAATTGTGTTTCAAAATGTTTAAGCCTTGATATTATTTCACATAAAGGAGACTACTATTAGAACAAGACAGTTTACACATTTACTTAATTTTATAATTTGTTATGTATCGCGCAAAAGGCCTTAAAGAGTCAGAAAAATGTATGGCTTGAAAATGTGTATTGATGATAAATGGCATATTGTTTTTGGAGCTAAGGGAGTCGTCACTTTAAAAGACGATACTGCGAGAATATGCTCATGGAAACCCTTATTAGCATGAGTAAGCTAATAAGGGTTTGTAACCCCTCTAAAAATTAAATTAAATACAATAATTTTTTATTCTTCCTAAATTCGAATAAATAAATTTTCTTCTTTGAATAAAAACTATCATCATATAAATTTTGAGCAAAAGTAAAATGATAAATAATTCTTTCAAATAAAAATAACTGTAAAAGGCAAAAATATTAATTTTTTATTAAAAAGGACGACAAGAAATGTATTTATTAATATGTAAAGAATATTTCATGTAAATTTTGTAAAACATTTTATGAAGACTAAAAAGAGTGATTTATACTCTCTCCGTTTAATTTTTCTGATAACTGCATATAACATTTCATCATGCTTCTTAAAAGCATGATTTTTAATCTTTTGTAAATTTAGTAATAATATCTATACATATATCTTTTGTAAATTTAGTAGTTTAGTGTAATTATGTAGTGATTGGTTTTTTAGCTTTTTATGGGGTATTCTATTAATTTCTGAACGGTTCAGTTTTTCGCTCAGTAATCATCACTTCAGTTTTCGTTCTGTATATTATCTTAATCATTTAAAGTATATTCTGCATTGAAACAGTATAATATTATGTGGTGAACATATTCATCATCATCATTAATAATTCATTTAGCATAGATTAGCATAGATGTTTCTTAATTAATTATGTTTTTTATATATGTTCGGAAAAGCAGGCATTTAGGTATTTTGATATAATTTTGTACTGTACTAGATTTTGCGATTAACTTGTTGAAATGAGGCTATCATTGGCTAATGATAACTAAAAAATCCAAAAAAATATGTTATATCGAAAATTATTTAGAAGCTATGTTTTCAAGTTCGAGAGAAATGATTAAAAATGCATCTCATGTATATATAGGAGAAAAATATTTTTCTTATTTGTAATTCATTTCATAAGTTTTCTATAAACCTGACACAAAGTAACTGATATTTTAAATTCCAATCTCCAAAACATTTTGAATTATTTAAATTACTGTTTTCAAATAGTTTTATTGTTTGTTACAAGTCCATGTAGCTATCCCTTTAAAATGGGTTTAAATTTTCAGCATTAGAACTTTTGTGTTAAGTAGCTTTTACTTACAGTTATACCGATACTTTAATTTCCTATTGTAGTAAATCTGGGCTAAGACTGCTGTATGTCATAATTAAAATGCTGATGACTTTAATTAAATGGACAAGAATTAAATTTAGATTTTGTTCTACTGTACAGTTTATTTGAGAAACGGGAAACTTTTATTTAAAATTTATTAATAGCTATTAATTCTAATTCATAAACATATTTTTATATCAAGTATATTTCTTATATATATATTTTTTTACTATTACCTATTTGAAGTGCATAAATGAATAAATATAGTTGATATGAGCATAACCAAGCTATTTAATATCAAAAGACAACACAAAAATATGATATTTAATATCAAATATATAATTGCTAATGTTATATAATTTCTCAAAAGGGGGAAATTTGCTGACTTTTAACATCTAGTTAGATGCTTATTATTGCTTCTCTTGTTTCGTATCTTATACATTTTATTATGGGTTTAGAAATTATCTAGATTTACGCATGACGATGAATCGTACACGAAGACTAACAGTTAGGATTCGGTGTAAGCTCTCGTACGTGGACTTCTGCCTGTGCGTCATCGTGTAAGATTCATCGTATCGCATTACTGACCATAGTTGTGTATTTCAGATTCCTTTTAAAATTAACAATAGCATCATAGCTCTAAAAAATTATGGAACAGCTTAAGCTCCGCTATTGCGTTTGCCATTTTGCTATGATTATTACAAATGTACACTGTGGACTTAGTTCAGTTTATCTTTAACATTTTTTAATTATGTGTCTTTAGCTCATAACTGGTTCCGAAACTGTGCAAAAATATTAATGTTTTGAACATTTACCATGTTATGAAAAATCATACTAATAGCAAGCATAATAAATAGTTTGAGGTTTTTAAAGAGTATAATTTTTTTCCTAATTTAAAGTAACATCATTTGATTTTAGAAGGTTTAATGAATGGAATAACTATTGAGAAATGCAGTTGGCCGCTAATGTTAAAGATATTTTGAACTTGGAGGACTGAATCAAGCTGTAGAATAAAAATGATTCATTGCGACATTGATCTAACACATCCATAATTACACGTTTTTACTTACGCCTTTCATCAAATGCTTACATTTTAAGCAGATTTACTTCACTCTATATCAATCATTTTCTTTTTTCCCTCTCCGGAAGTGTCATTTCTTGGCATCAAAGTATTTGAATTAAAAAATAAAAATAAATGCTATCAATTTTGTTTCATTTACATGTGTAAACTAATTTGTATATGTAGTATAACTGACGAATTTTAGTTAAAAATTTACACATGTTGATAGAGAGGTGGACGTACATTTACGAGAAGTAAACATCTAAGGCGAGGGTCTAGTCATGTCAAGAAGTCATCAATCACAAGTGTCTCAGCTGGAGTCAAGTCTCTCGTTAAGTGCGATCAATCACAAATGTTCAATGAAGTTTATTCAGGGTTTAATGCTAATAATTACCTTGTTCCTGTGCTTTTAGAAGTGCTGTACTCTAAGGGTAGCGATGTTAACAATCGAATTCCTGTGATGAGCGAGAAACTTAGTTGTCATTAGATGGACGGAAATAGTTCCAAAATTCTGTTGTGCGTTCCCCACTAATGTCGTTTACTAATATTCTCCAAGAAGTTCATTAAACATTTAAGCACGAAAAAGTTAATCATCGGTAGTTTCATTATCAAATGATTTAAAAATGTGCATTGAGCTTTATATTTTGTATTTCATGGCGCTCAGATTGCATGTAATTTCAATAACCATATTGCAAAATAATATAAATTTAATGGGGAGTAAGTTTTAAACTTTAAATCTGCCTTTAACTAATAAGTATTACAGATATAGAGCAACAGTATATTTCATACAGATAGTTATAGAAATATAATTTTTATGGATTATGGGATAATGCGTAATGAATAATTTAGATTGCATCCAGAAGCGTGTGAATATATAAAATGAAAGGAACACGTGAAATATATTAGAGGTGCTTTTAGATTACTTTTTTTTTTTCAATATTTACGTAGGTTAAGAAACTGGAGTTGTAGGTTCGGTTAATTTATTATTAACTAAAAGAAATCAAGATATACAAAAAGTAAAGCATCCATAGCTAAACTGCGTAAACCCTGTGCTGCACCAGTATCATAAATTTTTATTTTCAGATACGCTTCTTCTGACACATCACCGAATGTTTTAAATTGTTCTGCAGTGGCATTGATATAAATGTCTGTATTTCAACAGCCATGAAGAAATGCTGCACTGGAGAGGTATTTTAGTTCTCAGAGAAAACAAAGAAATATAATGTACGAATAGTGATATTACCGTTTGATTTCATATTTTAAAGATTATGAATAAAAAGAATCGGTAATGATAGTGTATATCAATCCATATAACTAAGTAAGATATAAAAGATTATTACTTTTTATATTCAAGATATGTCCATAATGATCTACAAATTTATATCTATATCCATGAAGATTAGCTATAGACTACCTTTAATTCTCATGTAGTCTATTTGACATGTGGTCTAAAATGAATGACTGATCAGCAAATGCGTTAATTTTTAAAATAATTTAAAGCATTATCTAAACATTCAAAAGTCTATTTCTCAAATTTGTTTTGTGCCATGAATACCAAGGCATTATAAAACATGCAAAGACATATGAATCTTATTCGTAAGCAAGTGGATCTGTACTGATGTTGGGATTATATTATTTTTGCTTTTAAACTCAGTCTAAGTTTTTTTGTTAAAGGCATATAAATAAAACTCCTCTCTTTTTTCTGTGTGTACTTAAGTAAGCTGTTTTAAATTCCGTGTAAAAGATATTGTCATTCAAATTTAGTAAATATACAAGGAGAGAGAGAGAGCCCGAAAGGGTATCAAGCTTAAATTTAAATAACAGCATTTTTTAAGAATAAACACATAAAAACTTTTAAGCTTATGAAAGCGTGTTTTTACAAGAAAAAGTTCACAAGAGTCAGTTCAGACATTAAAAAATGTCTAAAATACACTAAACCCTTGTAAAACAAAATTTAGTGTAAGCTCTAACGTAAAAAATCAAAACTAATTTCTTTTTTTTTTATTGGTTTAAAGTCTTAAATTTTGTATTTGTGATTCAGGTATGTTTTGTAACTTATATGCGAAGTCCATGAGAATTTAAAATGGTAATTAAACTTTATTTATTGTTGAACACATTTTTTTTTCATTTATTTATTGTTGAACACATTTTTTTTCATTTATTTATTGTTGAACACATTTTTAAGTACCATAATATTGCTACACAGAACAGTACATCTTCTATTTAATTTTCATTACGTTATTATTTTGATTATAATTTTTCATGCATATTTGCTCATTTGATTTTTTTAAACTTGTCCGTGCCTTTAACTATTTTCACCATCAAATCCTAACACTAGTTATCTTATTAATTTTGCTTTTGTTTTATTTTGTCCAATATTATTGTTTGTAATCAATTTTAGAAACACTAACACTAATTACCTTATGATTTTTACATTTGTTTTATTTTGACCATTATTATTGCCTGACAGTTCCTAGCACAACGCCTATCGAAACAACAACTCAGGAACCAATCACGTGTCCTCCGTGTCCAGTCAAGTGCGTATGTCCAGGTGTCCCCGGATACATGGATAATGAAGTGGATGAAATCGGTTAGTTTTGGCATTTACATTTTTAACTGCGATTATTTGTTTACGTGTTGCTGCCCATAGGTAAAAACTGTTATTATGTGTTACTGGTTATTTAATTTTTAAGTTAAACGTACTGTACGTGGTGCTATTCAAATAGGTGCCGATGTTTATTAAAAATATATCATATATCATTTGAGTAAGTGCATCGTAAGCAAATGTATCTGAAGCTAATCTGCGTGTTTGTTATTTATTCTATAAAAACATTTAATTGCATTTTTAGATACGATTTTTTACTTGAAGAAAATTTAAAATATAAGTTCTCATTTGAGTTTTATGATTTTTTTTTTTTTTTTTTTTTTTTTTTTTGCTTGTGTGTGTGTGTGTGTTTTAATGTCTGAAAACCTCCAATAATCGTTTTTTAAAATACGTTGTTTCTTTGAACGCAATGCATTTAAAGATTTTTATTCTGTATATGAAGTTTTATAGTGCAATGAAAATTTTGTTTGAAGAAAATTTGTTAGTATTTAATTTTAAAATGAGAAATTATCTGTGAAATGGGAATAAAATTAAACAAATTCAGTTCCGTCGATTACTGCCAAAAGACAAAAAACTGGGAAGAAGGGAAGAAGAAGCTGAAATTCGCTTTTCCTTCCTTCTTACAAGGAAGTAAAAAGCGCTGTGAAAGCCATGGGGTTTCGATATTTAAATTTAGGATTGGTAAAACTGTGAACAAAAAAAGAAAAAACGTCGCTTCAAGTGGGAAAATTGTTCCAAAAACATATCCAAGGAAAAAACGGAATGTTTCGAACGTTGCAAAGAAGATCTTCATTGTTAAAGAATTCAGCCTATTCAGAGGACAGATGCAAAATCTTTAAAGTGCTCAGTGTCAACTGTAAACAAAGTGATTAATGCTGATTTGAATCTTAAAAAGGCGAAAAGCATAATGTGCATCGGATTTCTCCATGATATATCTCTAAACGCAGAACGCGCTGCAGAATTCTTTATGAGAAATATATATCTGGAGAAAAATGGAAAAGTGCTGTCATAATAGATGAATCTTGGGTTTAACTTCAATAAAAAGAGATGCATTTATTATCTTCAAAGAGGAGAAAAATGTATTAAAACATGGTTCAAAGTACTATATAAAGAAAACTTTTAAAGGGTTTTTTGATTGTTGCAGGTTTTTCATATTACGACAAATTAAAAGTAAAGACAACGGTAAAAAATTTTAAGAATAACTACACATATTATCACGAACATAATTTATGCCCAATTTATTAATAGGAAATGCCTTCTCTTCATCCACAGTGACGTCAATCAGTAGAACTGCATCAAGACAATGGAAGCAACCACACGTCAAAAATCAACTGTTAATTCCCTGGAGAGAAATTAACAAGAAACTGGTATCAAGACCATACCATTCACTTATATCTATACTAAATCTATACCCATTAATTTTTGCGCTTTGAACTGTCCAGACGTCGACCTGCAACCCTCCTTGGACTTTGGAAAGCTGTTCAAGAGGAATGGGATAAAATATATCTTCCGTTACTATAAGAGACTTTATTGTCTTGGAAATTACGGTGTAGAAAGATCTTGAAGAATAAGAGTTATCAAAGAGAGCATTTAAAACATAAAAATTTTAAGTAAAAAATTTCTTTAAGTACTCTTAATATCACCAAAAATGAATGTGCCAACAACCTCTGTATTTAAGAAAAAATACGAATGCGCTCGACTGTTACTTTAAAATCAAAGCGTTTCTCCCTCCAAAAAGGACGGAGGGGCATAGAAAACTGATCACATGCGATTTGAGTTTCACATATCCTACGGTAAGTTGCTAGAACTAGCGAGCATTAAGTGTAATGGGTTGACACTTATTGTGCTATTTTGAGAAATGTAGTCTAAATAATGACAAGTATACACGTTATTTTGCAGTAGTGGATCGCCATAGGTACATATAAACACGCCATTTATGCATAAAATTATCATTTAATGATATAGGTATCACAAACGTTTCGTGATAAGAAAGGAAAAGATTTTTTTTATACCCATATTGCTAAAAGATATTCTGTTTTTTCCAACTGTTATATGGTTATATGGCAGAGAACTTGTTGACGATTATACGACACAGTTACTCATTATGGTTGAAACATAACGAAATGATGTAATATATTTGATCATTGTACGGAACACGTAACATTGTGAATAAGATTCTTATCGTCCTTTATGAATGTGCCATTGTCTGCAGATTTTGTCTGAAACAAAATAATGCATTTTTAGGCAAAATATAATACAGCGGACCTTTCTGTAGGAAATTTAATTTTTGAAGCATTTCGTTCTTGAATGACGTAATTCAGAAATTGATTAAAGAGGCCACACTGCAGCCTTTGAAATCCTTTATTGTCACCAGCTGCAAGATAAACTAATTTTATTACTAATAATGGATTTTCAGATTCATATATATACTTCTGAGCAGCTTACGGATATATACAGGATTTATTTAAAATTCCAAAAAATATTAGTAAAAACTGGTTGAAAGTTGTTAATTTACATTCTGAACATGTTACTTTAAATGGTTAGTCTCAGAGTTCTCCTCAGCTTTTATTGCCCTTTATAATTCAAGTATCCAAATGTTCTGAAGAAGTATATGTTTAAAATGGCATTTCAAACTTCTTACATGTGTAATCTTACGTTTAATCTCAACGTTATTTAACCTGTAACAGTACGAAAGCGATAATCTGAAACATATATTACCGCTGTCTTTAAATTACCCTCTTTTTTTGTTATAGGACATTCTTAAATATTGACCAAACAAAGCGCTTTTTGATAAACTTAGGTCAGCTCTGATATAATTAAAAAATTCTTTTGCAATATTCTACCGTTAACTATCATTATGAATCAACTAATTTTTATTAGTATTAGAATATGATAAAACGAGCTGAGCGTCGTAGCTGACTTTCTTTCCGCTTAAATCGAGCTGATTAGCACGGATAACTAAATCCTGTGGCGTCATTTCTCACAGGGCTTTTTCCTCAATAGATAAAGAAAGAAAAAATGTAAAATTGAAGTAAAATTCAAGAAGGAAATTTGACTTATTTATTTCATCTCTACCAATAACACTAAAGAATGAGAACGCCATTCCAATTCAGTTTTACAAAGGGACTTTTTTGAGGAGGCGGGAACCCATCACAGCTGTCCGTAAAAGTCGTACGTTACCGAACCTTTAAGAATAACATTCATCTTGCGTATTTCATTAAACTGACATGCAAAAGAATGTATTTACTGTACAATGATTATTATGCCTAATTAAAAACGTAATTAATATTCATTACACATAATACATTAATTTGGATCAGTACATGACTAATTTGACGTTTCCATATCCTTTGTCAGTGTCTTGTGCCTTCCGGCTTCGTTTGCCCAGAACTCTATGTTCATGCAACTGTTAGCCTCGAACTCAGTGAGTAATATATTCTCAAAGGTTTTCTACAAGGTAAATTGCTGCTAAAATATATTTAAAAAAATTGTCTTTTGAAGTGACCGTCTTTATATGAATAAAGAACAAAAAGATCAATGATTAAATGAGTTTGATTTAGAAAATAACTTTAAAAAAAACCTTTGTTATAATTTTGAATAAAAGTTTGGAATGAAAAATTTATCTGCTGACGACAACAGGTGTTGTGTGACTGATGTCAGACTAAACCGTAGCTTCATTAAGAGCACAACACTTTCTCACAACATATTCTTTCATTAATAAAAACTGCTTTCAAGTACGCATAAAACATTTTATGTCGTTAAACTAGTCAAGTTTCTAACTTTTACTATAATTATCTGAGCCGTAAAATTTACATTCAGTTGTAAATTAAGCAAATAACTGAATAAAATGCTAAAGCATCTACTAAAATGCATTTATTTTATTAGATGCGAAAAAAATTCTACTTTCTGGGAGGAGACACGAATATTTTCTTGCTTTAGTTCTTTTACTTTTCACAGAAATCAAAATTTTAGTTATCACCTGATGAGAGTTGACAGCTATCAAATCACGCAAGGCAGACTTAAATGTAGGAATTTCCTTTAAGACTGGAAACTGTATATTTGATTTATTTTATTACAAGCTATATAGAAATTTTATACACGAAATCTTTTATGAGGAACATTCAGCATATAGAAATTCTTACATAAAATGGATGAAACTAAACTCAGTGATGAGAGAAATGCAATTGAAATAAAAAAAAGGTAGATGCGATTTCCGTATCTCAGCCTCATACGAGTTATGTTTGACTGAGAGCAAAGTAAAGCTCATTGTGTATCTTTTGATCTAACTAGTTTTCAAATATCACTAATGCGAAAAAATAACTTCGAGCAATATTCGTTCGAAGCAAACATTGCTAAACCCAGGAGAAATAACTTTCCATTCCTGTAATAATTTCTTATTTTCGGAATTGGAACAAACTAATTTTGTTTCATCCTTCATTGATGGACAGAATAGCTGAAGTACCCAATAGCTACCATTGTTTTTTTTCCCCTAAAAAATTTGGCATGCGAAGGAAAAAGTTGAGTGAAACGGAAAAGAAAAAGGAAAAAAAGGGAAAAAGTTATCCACGTGTTCAAGAGATAGTCGCGTTAGGGCTGCAGGTGCCGTAGAACGTTTTTCTGACGTTCATCGATTATTCGCTCTGCTGGAATATCGATTAATTTTTTTCCCTTTCACCCTTCAGCTCTACATCAAAAACTAATCTGTGAACATTTATCCGGAAGTATAAGCGAGAAAAATGGGCCGAACTGCGAAATTTCGATAGTCTGTTTCAATAGATCTTTTGCGAACGGTTGCGCTGTCGTTCGAAGAAGTATTCGAAACTATGTCAAAAAGAAAAGCGAAAACTGTTGGTGAAAAGATGGATTCTATAGAGCAAATCTATAATAATATCTTATGGATTCACTTTAAAAAATCTTTGAATTCCTTCTACTTATGCTACCGACTATTGCAAGGATGGCACCAATAAGAAAAGTAAGGAGCATGT